TGTCTTTTGGAGAATATTCTCTGGAAGAGAAACTTGACTGGAAAGTTCCAGGGAGACACATTTTATCTTAGTTGTAGGAAGAACTTTCTCTCAACTAGACCTGTCCACCCTTGGAATGGGCTACCTTAGAAACTCACCCACGACCTGCCACTGTGTGCAGAGGCAGGATAGCATTCAGGGAACCAGGGAGACACAGAGTAGATAACTATTCTAATTTTTAGATCTTTTAATTTTATACCGCATAAAAGTTGTTTAAGCTGCTTAAGTGAGAGAGTCATGTATTTTAATAGATTTTAATGCATGTTATAATCTATTATCTATAAAAGATGCCAAAAGGGGAAACACACCTGAAGTATAGGAAAAAATTATGTAATCTATTTGGAAAACATATTTGAAGCTAAGTTAGGAACTGTTCTTTATTGGTGGAATCTATAAGGAGATTTAATACCTTAGAAAATATTGTTGAAGGATATGAAATTTCTGAAAATTTAATTTTAAAATTTGAGTGTGATTAAAGGGAAGAAAGCCAGGGCTTCTTTGGTGGCTTGGACGGTAAAGAATCTGCCTGCAATGCAAGAGACCCGATTCGATTCATGGGTCGGGAAGACATCCCGGAGAAGAGAACGGCAACCCACTCCAGTATTCTTGCCTGGAGAATTCCATGGACAGAGGAGCCTGGTGGGCTACAGTCCATGGGGTCACAAAGAGTCAGACATGACTGAANAGAAGAGAACGGCAACCCACTCCAGTATTCTTGCCTGGAGAATTCCATGGACAGAGGAGCCTGGTGGGCTACAGTCCATGGGGTCACAAAGAGTCAGACATGACTGAACGACTAAACGTTCACTTTCTAAGAGAAGAAAGAGGAAAAGTATGTTTTTTCAACAAAAATGTTAAATTGCCAGAGTTTACAACACAAATGTTTTTCAGATAAAAGTGAGGAATTATCAAATACAACAAACAGGGTTCTGATATTGGAATTACAAAGTATTGGGGCAAATGAATTTAACTCACAAAGGTTTATTACCCTTGGGCTGGTTCCTACTGTTTCCGTGGATGTTTGTGTATGGTCCTCTTGAACTCGGTACATACACTACATTCACTGTGAGAGCCTTGAAATATCTGTTCTATTAATGTCCAGATACCAGTGAATTTCAGTGTTTTAACAACATTGTGAAAATTACATTGGAGCATATTTTTTTGAAAACACATTTCAGGTGGCAGTTTGGAACACTCTAAACTACCCGGATACGGCATCATTTCCTTTCTGTTTTCTTCGGTTTTCATGAGTCAGCCCATTGTATATCCAAAAAATATAAGGGAAGACAGTGTGCACAGTGGCACAATGCTAGGTGGAAGGTGAAATAATTTTTTTAAAGAGAGGGAATGTGTTTTCAAAAGGAAGTTGGGCAGCCTGTCTGTATTGTGGCTCATTAGCAGCATTGAGACAGTTCAAATCTTATCATGATTCTTAAATTTAGCATCATTAAGGCAGGAAATAAAACACAAAGGTGATCAGTGGGAAGTGGGCTTACATAGCATGGAAGAAAATTAGTTTATTGAAAGGCAGGCTTTGGAGTGCAGAAATTTGATGTGCTGGGTTTGCTATTCTGGAGGATACTGAAAACTAATGTGGTCATGTCAGGCTTCTAAGTCTGTTGGAATTTATTCTGTAGATTTGTAAACATCCACATTCATAAAACTGGTAAAACAAGCATTTTGGACTTATGAAATGCAGACGTCTGGGGATGGGCTTGCTCCTCTCTGCTCTTTCCTCATTAGACTCCTCTCTAAAACCCAGAAAGATACCATTCCATGTGAAAATACCATTTCTTGAAGCAGGTTGGGATCCTGAAAACTCTGCTTTAGATGTTGTGATAGCAAACAATTTTGACCCAAACTATTCCAGCAATGGGAGAAAACCTCCTCTCATGCACTATTATTTTTCTTTGATCTTTGCGCTGTAGTCTCCAAGTCTCTGGAGGTTTTGTGCTTGCTCCTCTAATTTCCATTAGAGAGGGCTGTGAATTCTCCTCCTCCTCCATTCCGCAGAGTTCCTAACTATTCTCTTTGACCAAAGTTATTCAGTAAAAATTAAAGGGGCTAGTAGGATCAAAGGCTGTGTGTTTTTGGAATGGCGCTGTCATTTTTTGTGGGGTCCTTAACAGTGAGGAACAGTGGGGGGCAGGGGAGAGTCAATTGCAGTGTTTCAGCATTTTTACAGAGCTGCAAGGGAACCAACCTCTTAATAGCATCTAATACCTTAGGGAGGCTGGTGCTTTGTAGCCTAACCAAAGGCTACATCTTATAATCTGATGAATATCACTCTGCAGTGTAGCATGAGGAAATCCATACTGCCCTATAGTCTCCCACCTTCCTCTTTACCCTGTTTACTAAACTCGTGGTAACTCATAAGAAGTTATCAGGTTTAATATGCCTTGCTTGATTCATTACCTAGTACTGAAAGTGTACACACTTGTGCAGACTTCAGGAAATCACCAGCGGACATCAGTAGCATCAGCAGCATTAGTACTTGCTGCCTAGGTGATAAATTGTAGTATAAAGGACTCAGAATACACCAGGCACTATTCAAAGTGATTCACTGATATCTTAGCTCTCTTAGTCTTCATAGCCTTGTGTGTATGTGTGGCTTCATTTTTACCTCCATCTTACAGATGAAGACTAAGGCACAGAGTTGTTTAGTAGCTAAGTTGTGACCGACTCTTTTACAACCCCATGGTCTGTAGCCCTCCAGGCTCCTCTGTCTTTGGGATTTCCCAGGCAAGAATACTGGTGTGGGTTACCATTTCCTTCTCCCAGGGGTCTTCTCAACCCAAGGATGGAACCCACATCTCCTGCATTGCAGGTGGATTCTTTATCATCAAGCCACCAGGAAAACCCAAGCCATAGGGGTCAGAATTAGAATTCAAACCATGCAGTCTTATTCCAGAATTCATGGTTTACTTTTTTAACTACATCAAACTCAAACTAAAGATCTGAAACAAATGTTCAACATTTCTTCTTCATGATCTTTTAGTCAACTCTTATGTAAAGTTAAATCTCCAGAAAGCTGAGGCAGTGGCTTAATTGCTGTGGGTGCCTTAACTATGAAAGAAGTAGGAGAGAAGAGAAAGCTTGTCTTTATAGTCTTGTAGACTAGTTTCTATCTAAATCCTGGTTTTATTAGTTATGTTAATTCTCAGGAGACCAAACCCGGGTCTCCTGCATTGCAGGCAGATTCTTTACCATTTTAGCTACCAGGGAAGCCTCAATTCTTAGCTACTCATTACTAATTTCTCAGGATCTCAATTGCTCAATCTGTGAAATGTGAATATGACAATAACATGTACTAAATAGGGTTATTGTTGATACGAACTTACATAATGCATTTAGAGTGCCTAGTGCAATGCCAGACACAGACATGTTAGATGTTAATGTTTTAAGCTGCCTTTAACCTTTGCTAGAAATAGAATGATGACAGATAATGAACCAACTATGTGTGTCTGTGGGGGGGGGAGTCTAATAAAATGATATTGGTAAATAGAATGTAATCAGATGCATGAATTTTATTCCACAAGGCAATCAGTAGTCTGGATTCTACCAGTAGACTAGATTTTCTGCAATAGTGCCCTTAGATCCGAAACACAGGATCATTGTGAGGGAAATACGATTGTAATGTAATGTGTCAGGTATTTATTACACTCCAGGGAGGATCCATATTGCTCCAAATTCTGAATTACAGCAGAGTCCCTGTGTTATCACATCTGCTCTCACATCTCCAATTCTGCTTCAGAATACGTAATAATCATGGAGCTGGGATTTACCATTCTCTTCTAGTTAATTATAAACTGAAAATCAGTACAATCATAGGGAGGGACATAAAGAGGGAAAATAAGTTTAAGACAGAAATACTCTAAGGATGTGGGCGTTCTCCTGGGCAGCCAGAATTCAGTCGACTGTACTCACTAAGGTCTGATTCCTGGGAATGGGATAGTCTCAGTGGGCTGTGACTTCTTCCTCTTCCCGGGCACTGGAACTTCACTGCTCTAAGTGATATTATTTAATTTATGCTTTCAAATTGAAAAGTTCCTTTATTCTCTGTTAACATAGGCGCCCTAAAGACTATTCATGCCAATGCAGCAACTCTCTCTTAAAGCTATCCTTAGAAAATAATAGGGGTGGGTATTCCCCAATTCAGGAAACTCCATCTTTTATAGAAAGCATTCCATGTGGCACCTTAAGGGTTAAACTTTTGTTGCAGATAGAGTATCAAGTGGCTTTTCAGGAGAGGATAACCCCCAATTTAGAAACTGCCATTTCTAAAAGGTAAGCCAAACATACGTTAGTGTACATTGCTTTCTATGAAAGGAATAACTCACCGCTTCTACTGTGTGTGTTAGTTTGTCTCTCTACCATATACCTCCCGTCATCTATATCATGTGTATAGCAGGGTGAGGACCGTCAATCACTGTTAATAAAAACCCCAGAACACGACAAAGATTCTTTTTATTGCAGATCCGTTTTACAATAGCTCTCAATTTATGATGTCACATAAATCAAAAGTGAAGTGTTTATCTTATCATTCCGAGGCATCCCTTCTCCCTCTGTGTCCTAGCCCCTCCCCCTGTGCCAGTTTCCAGCCCTCAAAGATGCTTTGTATAAGAAAGTGCAAGTTCCCCGTTCTGGCTTTATTGATGTTCCCTTTCGCTCTCTTCCTGGCTCCCCCCCAAACCAAGTGAGCAGAGCAAATGGCCCGGGTTTTCCCCCAATGCCTGACCTGCGTTTACTGGGAGGAGAGCAGGAGAGGGAGCGCGCATTCCGAGCAGGCTGCTCTGACTCCGACCACAGGCTGTTCCGTGCAGGCTGTCCCTCTCCTTCAAAACCATGCATCCCCTCCCCGAAGCAGCAGGCAGTGTGCCTCCATTCAGCCACATTTGGTATGCATGAGCACGGCTGCAGGGAGAGGGGAGGTGGCTTTCTTAAGAAGGTTCAGTGGCTCAAGCATCGCCACTTGACTAGTCTCCCAAGTTGCAGGAAGCCTCTGCCCTGATGGAATTCGCAGGTGTGGAGATGACCATGGGATGCCAGGGCCGTGGGGGACCGTTTATTTTCTAGGCATTGCTCGGGTTTGCGGTTTCTGGCTTTCCTGGTGGAATTTGGAAGGGGTCATGAATCAAACTGATGCTCCTCGACCCCTGAACTGGACCATCCGGAAGCTGTGCCACGCAGCCTTTCTCCCATCTGTCAGACTTCTTAAGGTACTGTAACTTGCTGCTTTGAATGGCTCTCATTGTGCTTTGCAGGTCTGCATACCCAACTTCGCTCTTGGCCTGGGACACACCTTTTCGGGAGTACAGATGCCTGCAGTACTTGCCGTGTTGCCCATGGCTATTGAGACGTTCTCCACTCCCCTCACCCCATGGTGTTAGGGAGGGAGGATGGTCTCAGCCACAGTTGAGAATGAGATTATGGTTGCAGAGAATGGGCTGCCTGAGTGCTCCCCACCCCCAAACATCCCTAAAATAGAATTAATTAACTTCTTTGGGAGGGTGGGAACAGTAGTGGGAGTGAAATCTCTTACTCCTGTGTGTTTGACTCCTGGATTTTTTTTCCCTCCCTGGGGAAACCCTTCGACCCAGTTTCCATTTAAATGGAACCTGAGAGAACAAAGGATTCTCCTTATTATTTTAAAAGCCCTGTGTCCTTAGGTGGTCTCTCAGGTAAAGACAAAGAACAAACATTATCAGACTGTGACTTTTTTGGCATACTTTTTTCTTTAAAGGTATGATAATTTTAGTATCTTAAGTGAAGTCGGTGGTGGGAAAGTATTGTTAAATATATACTGTGTGCTTCAAGCTAGCTCTGGGTTACACAAAAGAAACAGTACTATACCCCAGCTAGGATGCTACCTGGTGTCTGCAGCATTTCTCTTTCTAGAAGCAAACACATTAAAAACACTGAGAAAGTCCCCACAACTTCAAGATAATTCATCTTCACCATCTGCCTTGTAGGGAAGGAAATACAAGTAAAAATTTAAAGGTACAGAAAACAAGTATTTCCTCTCAGAAAAGAGAATGTGGTATCACTTTTTTTGGGAAAATGTATATCTCTGGATGTCCCTCCCACATCCAGGTGAAGTTTGAAAGGCAAGATGAAGTTCTTAATTCTCCTTTCCATATTAATATGATACTGAGAGTCATGATCACTGAAAAAATTACACTTAGAACATTTTTCTGTCTGAGTCTGTGTCCTGGTTGGGTCAGGTTTGATGTGGACAATTAGTTCTGTCCAGCTAAGTGGCTGCTTGCATTGGAGTGTTAACCCAGTCTCACTCCAGTATTCTTGCCTGGAGAATCCCATGAACAGAGGAGCCTGGAGGGCTACGGTCCATAGGGTTGCAGAGTCGGGCATGATTTAGCGACTGAGCGTGCATGCATTAACCCTATCTGAGTTTCCTTTATCCTATTCAACACAAACTGATTAACCTTCCCAAAGGTTACACCCCCATCCTGTTCCAACACCCATCATTTTGTTATGGTGGTGGTTTGCTTCCTTGAAAGAGTCTTTTGGAGGAAAAAGGAGGTTTGGGAGTAAGAGAGAAGCTTCCTTAGATATAAGGGCTTTTGTTATGTTGGAACAACATGCGTGATAGGGCATGAAAAAGAATGAGGCCAGGGACTAACAAACAAATGTAAATTTTCCTCCAGAATTACTCCTGAATCTATGGTCTGGGGTGAAGAGTTTCTTGGCAAACCTAACTATGACTGAAAAAATTGACTTCAGCTATTCCATGTGCAATAAGAAACATTTTTCATTTAAATCATTCATTGGCTTTTCCCCAAAGTAATGTTTTTTAATTTATATAATGACTTTTTAACAGGTGTGTGTATACTACCTTCAATGTATTATTCATTAATACTCTAATTTTTAAATGGAAAATGGTATGTATTATTTGCTTGTCATAAGATCAGCAGAGATGTATTCTTTTGAGGTATATTACTTATTTTTAGAAGAGCTGTCATCTTTTTTAATGGTACTCATCTTTAATGAGTACCATTCATGCTATATATCAGCAACACTGTCAATACTACACCAATACCACGGGTAGCATACATCTCAGTCTTACCATCCTTTATGAACATGGTGTTTTATAACAAATTATATTCATCTAAAAGGTGCATTAATGACTGCCCTTCAAATTCTCTCAGTATCTGAAAGATAAAATTTGTTTTACTAGAGAACTTTCCTTTCAAAAGACATCTGTATTTTTGAAAGATTATATGTCCTAGAAGACTTCAGATATTGAACACATTTCAAACTTGAAGAAAAGTACTACAAAATTCTTTCAGCAATACTTAGAAATAAACACTGCTTTTGTATATGAGTTATTGTATTATCAGCATTCTGGATATGAATGCTGTGTAATTTTCCCGCTCCAGATTGTTGCTGTCTTGTCTTTATTATGTTAATCCCTGTGTATTCTTGCTCTGCTTTTATATTTCAAGTCAAATGGAAGTTCCAGAGTAATCATTTGCATCTTTTGGTCAGTGTTCTTCCTGATTTAGTCTATAAATTAAATAATTAATAGCAATAATCGTACTGTGTTCTTTCCTCACTTTCTGTTTATTCCTTCCCTCCCCCCTCTCTCTCAATTTCTTATTCTGTCTCCCTCACACTGCCACCACCATGTTAATATAATGGATGGATTCTCTGGAGTCTATTGAAATTGTAAGCTAATAACCCCAATTCTCCTATTCAACAGGTAATTTTCCTTCCTCTTCCAAGCCTTTTTCTGATGCAGTATGCCCTTTCCAATGCCCTGATGTAGCCATAAATGCAGTTTAGGACATGATGGCATGATTAGATTGGACTAAACCCTGATCAGTCACCATTTCTGACAAGACTGAGTGTGAGCCAATTTCCTTTCTTTCCTTTCCTGGAAAATGTGTTTCTTTGCTAACTTACTTCAGTACCACACTAATGTTTAGAAATGGCTTCATAATCCTGTTTCCTGTATTTCCCATTTCTTAATAGAAACAAGATACTAAAGAATTAGAAGGGAAAGGCCAGCATCTGAAGCACGAATTAAACCCAATGAGTATTGGAATATAGTTATTATTCCTTCTGAAAACATCTTGTATTGTTATTTTGTCCATCTCAGAGAAAATTTTGAACATGCCAACCAACTTACATTTTGAATTTGAGATTGCATTTGGGAATATCATTTGAAAATGAATTTTTGGACAGGCACATGATGATGATAGCCAAAAATCAGAGGCTGTTTTCAAACGGATACATTTCAAATGGGACCCTTTCCAAACTGTTTCTCTTCAGTTGTCATTTGTTTCATTTTGATGTGTTTCAAGATTTATCTTACTATTAATTGCAGAAAGTCAAATTTATTTCATTGATGGAATATTCTTAGCATATTTTATATTCATTTTAAGGTCTGTCTCTGCCATTATTTGGGAAATTTTATTTTGGTTACTTCTGTTTAATTTGAATATTAATGTTAGAGCAGACAGCTTTTTCTGCATTGAAATCTTGGTAAATTTAGTGAAGGGGCCTTTGAAAAATAGGTTGTTTTGGGGGAAAGGGAAGCTGTGCACTTGTAACAGATTTTGGATAAATACATTTAAGCCAATTTCTTGATGAAGACCAAATAATCTGTATCATTTTAGGATTTTCAAACAAAGAGTATGACTTTGCCACTAGAGCAATGTCAGAAAGAAATTAAAGAAATTATCCTTTGGACAGTTAGGTCTAAAAAAATGAGTCCTAATTCCTTCATGTTCCTAACCACCTGTGTGACCTTGGGAAAGTTACTTAACCTCTCTGTAACTTGGTGTCCTTCTCTTTAAAATAAAGAATTTAGATCTTGATTTAGATTTAATGCTATGATTCCCTGTGGAAAAGGCTTCCATGTTCCGTGGGCATGGAAAAACATAGTCTGTTGAGGCTAAAAGTAATTAAAATGAATTCTATATTAAAATGGAAGGAGGACTAGAACAGTTGGCAGAGTTTAGATCATAGAGGGCCTTGCCCACTAAACCAAGGCAGTTGACAATGAGGCTGAAAACTGGGAGGACCATTAAAGGGATCTTAGCAGCAAAGTGATTGCTAGATTCAGCTGTTAAATAGATTGCTTTGACTATAGTGTCTAGATTACATGGGAGATGGTGAGACTGGAAGCTGAGAGATTAAATTAGAGGCCTGAAGAGTTGATGAGGACCAGGTGTAATACATTTAGTCTCTCAGTCATGTCCAATTCTTTGCAACCTCATGGACTATAGCCTGCCAGGCTCTTCTGTCAATGGAATTCTCCAGGCAAAAATACTGGAGTGGGTAGCCATTTGCTTCTCCAGGGGATCTTTCTGACCCAGGGTTGGAACCTGAGTCTGCCGGATTGCAGACAGATTTTTCACTGTCTAGTGACTGAACAATAACAACAATAGGACTAATGCAAAAGTAATGGAGGTAAAATAATTAGGGCCTTGTTAAATCAATTAGTTGTGGTAGAAGGAAGAATTTATAATTTCTTCAGATATCTTACTTTGCTGTCTGATGGTCCCAGTGATGGTGGTTCCAGTGTCTGAGAATGAAGATCCTGAGAAGGAAGGACAGAACTCGGTGATTATTTGGTGAGCTAGAAAGGGTATGCCACTTCCTGATTCTAATGAGACTGAGACAAAAGTAAGGAATGTAATTTCATGTTATTGATGGGTATGAGTCCCATTGATAGCAGAACTCTTTGATGTAAATAACATATAATCAGTAATATCACTTAGAGTTTTCTAAGATGGTTTTTTTCTTTGTTCTTATAAAACAATACCTAGTAAACTCCCATTTTTTGAAATCCAGTTAAAAATCTCAGAGTTTTCATTAATTTTTCCACTTCGTTCTCTGTTTTTATTGTCAAAAGAGGGATTAGTGAAAGTGAACTGGGCTAACACAAGAGAAATGATTGAAAGTTAGGCTAAGAGATCCCAAATTCTGCTCAAGTACACAATGTTTTCTACTCCTATAATTTCATGTCATGGTAACCAGTGTCCATTATGTTGTCCCTGAAGCATAGCAAGATCCTGATGACAAAATGAGTTGAGTCTTTTTTTGCAGTTGATTCCAGATATAGCAGAAACTGACTTCCCTTCGCTATTCTCAGGCTCTTAGAAGACAGTTATGTTGAGATTCATTTTGATTTGTTTTAGATTTGTTACTTTTAAGGACTCCTTTTCACATCTAAAATTCTGTATCTTTA